CTGGGGGGTTTTGTAGACTTGGTAGTGGGCTTTGTGGACTATTCTGAATGGCCAGCTAAGTGCAGAGGGCAGTACAGGCATAGGGCAAGGGAGAGAAACAACTGTCTGTGCTTTATGGAATGATGAGGGAAGAAGTTACCGTGTGTCCTGGGTTCAGCAGTAGCAGTCATGTTTTTTCCTTTGTGTTAACTGGTGCAGTGCTGTGTTTTGACTTCCAGCTTGAGAACAGTGTTGGTGAAGCCGATGTTTTCGGTTGTTGCTAAGTGATGTTTACCCTGACCAAGGACTTTGTGAGGTTTACCCTGACCAAGGACTTTGTTTTAGCTGATAGTAGCAGTGGTGATTTGATCCTCCTCCCCGTTCCTCTGGGAGTGGGGAAGGGGAGAGCCCTGGTGCGGGGGGGGGGGGGGGGGGGGGAGACGGACACGGACCTCGATTGTTGTCAGCTCAGCACCACTCACTGGGAGTGAGTGAACAAGTTACCTGACTGGGTTTAAACCACGACAGTTCTTTTTGGCGCCCAACGTGGGGCTCGAGGGGTTGAGATAAGAACAGATCTGACTGGATTGATAGTCACTCGTCACAATGCTGATTTATTGGCTCTCAAGGTTGTTCCTCTTGATCTCACAGTTTCAGTATATCATATCTTACGTCCATCCTGTATTTGCTGTATTAGTGTTTTTCAAGTGTGGGGCTTGGGCTAAGGTTTTTATCCCATTGTACTTTATGGTAATGACTTGTAATACAATAGAATCATTGATCATGAAACTGATCTGGCTTATGTTCCCAGTGTGGTCACCACCTTTATACTTTGGGAGGTATATGATGGAGGTGCTTAGCAATTACACATCTTTTTTCTCCTTCTCAGGTGCTCAACCTGTGAAGGAGACATCCTTTTACCCTCCCAGTCGTCCCCCCAGACCATTTACATTTGAGAGTTTTGAAGTTTTTGAATGGCCTTTTAATGCTGTTGAGACTTGTTTGCTGATGGTGATGGGAATCACCATGCTAACACGCATACAGAGTGTGTTTTGCCCACTACTGATTTCAAGAGTTAAGCAGATTCAGGTTTGGGTCTTGTCTGGGGTCAAACGACGATGTAGGAGGACCGAGAGATTTTCCCTGAGGCTGGACAGTCATGAGTGGCAGGGTGTGTGGGATAGTATGGGCAAGTATCTGGGTCAGTGGGCCCCTCCAGTACTTTGGAATTTCACTACCGAACAACTGCAAAATCCAGAAGAATTAGTAAAACACTTAAATGAGGTGTGTGGTCATTCTGGCCATACCAGAGATGGACAAATCGCGGCAACGTGCTGAGGCTTGGCCTATGCTTACAGGGCCTTGTTCAACACTATCCAGCACCTCCAAAAGGAAAAGAATGTCGGCAGATCTGAGGGCAAAGCGACAGTCGCTACTCAAACTTTGACTGCAATGAACAGCACAGCTACCCCAGCGGCAAGTACAGCAGCTGCTCAAACTTCAACTGCAACAGACAGCGCGGTTACCCCAGCTCCAAGCACAGCAGCTGCACCAACCCCAGCGACAAGCACAGTCGCTACTCAAACCACAGTGATAATCACTGCAGCCAAACCAGAGGACCACTTTGTACCAATATCAGTTGCCCCTGTACGCAAGAGAATAAGCAAAAAGGAGGCAAAAAGGGTGAAGCGAGATGAAGAACCAATGAATTCACCACCCGGTCCAGAATCTGATCAGGAGTCATCATCACATGACGAAGAAGAAGAAGAAGAGGTAACTTCTCGACCTCAGACCTCAACCGAGCTGCGGAATATGCGAAAAGATTTTACCCGTCAACCAGGGGAGCACATCATCACCTGGTTACTCCGATGCTGGGACAATGGGGCTGATGGTCACAAACTAGAAGGTACAGAAGCCAAGCAGCTGGGATCACTTGCTAGAGAAGGGGGAATTGACAAAGCAATTGCAAGAGAGAAAAAGTCCCTCAGCCTTTGGAGGAGGCTCTTGGCAGCTGTGAAAGAAAGGTTTCCGTACAAGGACGATGTTACGAGTTGTTCGGCCAAGTGGACTACTATAGACAAAGGCATCCAGTCTCTGAGGGAATCAGCCATCGTAGAGATGATCTATCACATCAAGCCTAATAACGGGGATACACCTATAGATCCAGATGAAGTTGAATGTACACGACCCATGTGGCGAAAACTTACACGGAATGCACCGTCATCATATGCCCATTCATTGGCAACAGTGACCTGGAATGACATAGTACCACTAACAGTGGATGAAATGGTTCATAAACTCCGAGAGTTCAAAGACAACCTCACCCCTTCCATCATCTCAGCTGTGAAAAAACTGTCCCAGGACCTCGAACAATTGAGGGACAATCTATCTGATTTATCCAGCTCCTCACGTGTACCAACACACGTCTCAGCTATTAACAAAAGGCGTCCTATTGTTCAAGAGAGGAGATACAGAAGGTATACGCCACGGGGTACCCTATGGTTTTACCTGCTGGATCACGGAGAAGACATGACAAAGTGGGATGGAAAACCTACTTCAGCTTTGGAGGAACGGGTGAGTGAACTGAAGAGGGGAGCAAGGGCCAAGACTGATCGTCCCATGAGAGCTACGGCTTCAGTCTCTGGTGATCAGTTTCCCAGATGGAGTGGAAGAGCTGATTTTACTCCAGCTCCTGTGATAATGAAGAATAATCCCTTTCAACACGACTTAAGTGTCCAATGCTGTGACGACCATTAGAGGGGCCCTGCCTCCAGCCAGGTGGAGGTAGGGGACAATCGGATTTACTGGACTGTGTGGATCAGATGGCCTGGCACATCAGTCCCACAGAAGTATAAGGCTCTAGTAGATACCAGTGCACAGTGTACCCTGATGCCATCAAGCTGTCAAGGGGTGGAACCCATCTATATTTCTGGAGTAACAGGAGGATCCCAAGAGTTGACTGTGCTGGAGGCTGAAATCAGCCTGACTGGGAGGGAATGGCAAAAGCACCCTATTGTGACTGGTCCAGAGGCTCCATGCATTCTCGGCATAGACTACGTCAAGAGAGGGTACTTCAAAGACCCAAAAGGGTACCGGTGGGCTTTTGGTATTGCTGCTTTGGAGACTGAGGAAATTGAGCAGCTGTCCACCTTGCCTGGTCTCTCAGAAGATCCCTCTGCTGTGGGGTTGCTGAAAGTTGAAGAACAACAAGTGCCAATTGCGACCACAACAGTGCACCGGCGGCAATATTGCACCAACCGAGACTCCCTGATTCCCATCCATCAGCTGATCCGTAGACTGGAGAGTCAGGGGGTGATCAGCAGGACCCGCTCACCCTTCAATAGCCCCATATGGCCAGTGCGAAAGTCTAATGGAGAATGGAGACTAACAGTAGACTATCGTGGCCTGAATGAAGTCACACCACCATTGAGTGCTGCCGTACCGGACATGCTAGAACTTCAGTATGAACTAGAGTCAAAGGCAGCCAAGTGGTATGCCACGATTGATATTGCCAATGCATTTTTCTCAATTCCTTTGGCAGCAGAGTGCAGGCCACAGTTTGCTTTTACTTGGAGGGGTGTCCAGTTCACTTGGAACCGACTGCCCCAGGGGTGGAAACACAGCCCTACCATTTGCCACGGACTGATCCAGACTGCACTGGAACAGGGGCAAGCTCCAGAACACCTGCAATACATTTGATGACATTATTGTGTGGGGCGATACAGCGGAAGAAGTCTTTGAGAAAGGGAGGAAAATAATCCAAATCCTGCTGAAAGCCGGTTTTGCCATAAAACGGAGTAAGGTCAAGGGACCTGCACAGGAGATTCAATTTTGGGGAATAAAATGGCAAGATGGACGCAGAGAGATCCCCACAGATGTGATCAACAAGATAACAGCAATGTCCCCACCAACTAATAAGAAAGAAACGCAAGCTTTCTTGGGTGCAGTGGGGTTCTGGAGAATGCACATCCCAAATTACAGTTCGATTGTAAGCCCTCTCTATCATGTGACCCGGAAGAAGAATGATTTTAAATGGGGCCCTGAGCAGCAACAAGCCTTTGAGCGAATTAAACGCGAGATAGTTCATGCAGTAGCCCTTGGACCAGTCCGGACCGGACCAGATGTAAAAAATGTGCTGTACACTGCAGCTGGGGAGAACGGTCCTACCTGGAGCCTCTGGCAGAAAGCTCCAGGGGAGACTCGAGGTCGACCCCTCGGCTTTTGGAGTCGGGGATATAAAGGATCTGAGGCCAGCTATACCCCAACTGAGAAAGAGATACTGGCAGCCTATGAAGGGGTTCGAGCTGCTTCGGAAGTGATTGGCACTGAAGCACAGCTCCTCCTGGCACCCCGGCTGCCCGTGCTGGGCTGGATGTTCAAAGGCAGGGTCTCCTCTACACATCATGCAACTGATGCTACATGGAGTAAATGGGCTGCACTAATTACACAACGAACTCGAATAGGAAATCCCAGTCGTCCAGGCATTCTAGAAGTCATCATGGACTGGCCAGAGGGCAAAGATTTCGGAATGTCACCAGAGGACGAGGTGATGCGCGCTGAAGAGGCCCCACCATATAATAAACTGTCAGAAAGTGAAAAGCAGTATGCCTTGTTTACTGATGGCTCTTGCCGTATTGTGGGAAAGCATCGGAGATGGAAGGCAGCTGTATGGAGTCCTGGACGACAAGTTGCAGAAACTGCTGACGGAGAGGGTGAATCAAGTCAGTTTGCCGAGGTGAAAGCCATCCAGCTGGCCCTGGACATTGCTGAACGAGAAAAGTGGCCAGTACTTTATCTCTATACTGACTCATGGATGGTGGCAAATGCCCTGTGGGGGTGGTTGAAGCAATGGAAGCAGAGCAACTGGCAACGCAGAGGTAAACCCATCTGGGCTGCTGCACTATGGAAAGATATTGCTGCCAGGGTGCAGAACCTGGTGGTGAAGGTACGTCATGTAGATGCCCATGTACCCAAGAGTCGGGCCACTGAGGAACACCAGAACAACCAACAAGTGGATAAAGCGGCTAAGATTGAAGTGGCTCAGATGGACTTAGATTGGCAACGTAAAGGTGAATTATTTTTGGCCCGGTGGGCCCATGACACTTCAGGCCATCAGGGCAGAGATGCAACATATAGATGGGCAAGTGACCGAGGGGTGGACTTAACAATGGACACTATTGCCCAGGTTATTCATGAGTGTGAAACATGTGCTGCAATTAAACAAGCCAAGCGGTTAAAGCCTCTTTGGTATGGAGGACAATGGTTGAAGTATAAATATGGGGAGGCCTGGCAGACTGACTATATCACACTGCCACCAACCCGCCAAGGCAAGCGCCATGTGCTTACCATGGTGGAAGCAACCACCGGGTGGCTGGAAACATACGCTGTGCCCCATGCCACTGCCCGGAACACCATCCTGGGCCTGGAGAAACAGATTTTGTGGCGACACGGCACCCCAGAGAGAATTGAGTCAGACAATGGGACTCATTTCCGGAACAACCTTATAGATATTTGGGCCAAAGAGCATGGCATTGAGTGGGTATATCACATCCCCTACCATGCACCAGCCTCTGGGAAAATGGAACGGTACAATGGGCTGTTAAAAACTACACTGAGAGCAATGGGTGGGGGAACTTTCAAGCATTGGGATACACGCTTACCAAAAGCCACCTGGTTGGTCAACACCAGAGGATCTGCCAACAGGGCTGGCCCAGCCCAGTCAGAACTGTTACATATTGTAGAGGGGGACAAAGTTCCTGTGGTGCATATGAAGAATTTGCTGGGGAAAACAGTCTGGGTTATTCCTGCTTCAGGTGAAGGCAAGCCCACTCGTGGGACTGCTTTTGCTCAGGGACCTGGGTATACTTGGTGGGTAATGCGGGAAGATGGGGAAGTCCGATGTATACCTCAAGGGGATTTGATTTTAGGGGAAAACAGCTAGTGAACTCAATTGTATGCTGTTGCCTGCTGTGTAATGCTTTTATAGCCCATCAACTAGATGTCTCCAGGTCACCAGCGACTGGCCCTGACTTCCCTCCAGCCATCATCCCAACAGAGAATGAACTTTGAACATCATGGACCGAATGGACTCGGCAGCATTATAGGGATTGGTCCATGCACTAAGAAAATTATTTTTTCCTCTTGGTCTGGATGTATATGGATGTATATATGTGGGAGAGCGATGGTGTATTGAAAATGTGGGATCTGAGCACGACGTGAATGGTATGGAATAAGGGGTGGATAATGTCCTGGGTTCAGCAGTAGCAGTCATGTTTTTCCTTTGTGTTAACTGGTGCAGTGCTGTGTTTTGACTTCCAGTTTGAGAACAGTGTTGGTGAAGCCGATGTTTTCGGTTGTTGCTAAGTGATGTTTACCCTGACCAAGGACTCTGTGAGGCTCATGCTCTGCCAGGGAGGAGGGGAAGCTGTGAGGAAGCAGAGAAGGGGTGCCTGACCCGGGCTAGCCGGGGAGGTATTCCATACCACAGCACATCATGCCCGGGGTGAGGGGTAACTGGGAGTTACCCGGAAGGACAGGGGCTTCCGGGTGGAACTCGCTTTCTTGGCCGGTGGTATCGTATTCTCTTCCCTTGTTATTTTCCCTTATCATTGTTTTAGCTGATAGTAGCGGTGGTGATTTGTTGCTGGACTGTTCTTGTCTCAACCCGTAGGAGTTGCACTCTCTCGATCCTCCTCCCCGTTCCTCCGGGAGCGGGGAAGGGGAGATCCCCGGTGCAGGGGGGGGGGGGAGACGGACACGGACCTCGATTGTTGTCAGCTCGGCACCACTCACTGGGAGTGAGTGAACAAGTTACCTGACTGGGTTTAAACCACAACACCGTGTATAATTTTTTCCCTTAAATCACAACTTGCAAGCAGGTTGATTGTTCTTCATGCATATTCCTGTCTTGAGTGCATTGAGACATCCCAGCTGTTTTCAGTGGCTCAGCAGAGAATTGTTTCCATGCATTTTGGGGGTTAAATTCTTTTAAAACATATCAGTCAGTCTGTAACAAAACATCTATTTTGACAGACTGATTTGAGATATTTTGTTGCTATTTCTGAAGGTATCTTACAGAAAATGAAAGTGTCTTATTCACACAGCCACTTAGCATTTTCCATTCCATTCTAAGAATGCTAACATTGCTCATATCACCACTGTGATCCAGAGTATAATCAATATGATTTTAATTGCTAGTGGCCCATGCTTCTGTTATCTTAGACTGCTCTTGCACATATGGTGGACCTGATGCAAATTTAGGCGTCAATGGATTAAGTTTGGTCTGTGTTTGTAAGGAAGGTTTTCAAATCCTACAAAAGCAAGCTGCATGCTATTCTGTAGAGGTCCTTAGAGGCTGCTGTATAGATATAGGATGTGATTGATACTTTCTTTGAAAGAGATCTGCCCTGTAAGACTACATTGTAATGTATATGAAGAGGGACTTAAAAAAAGGAGTATGTGCACACTTATTTCTGGAACATGCTGAGTCATGCTTGATAGAAGCAGCAAGCAACAGATAGAGCCAGTATCTGAGACACTTGGACCAACATGCTGTTTCTCAGGAAGCAGGTTATGTTTTGTTTATCTGGAACGACTTTAAATGATGCACTTTTTTTTTCCTCTGACTCCTTAATTTCTGCAGTTGGACTGTGCTGTGCTGCCAAGGCCGTCTAACAGCAAGGAGCTCTGAGGTCAGTATTGCTGACCAAAGAATTCTCAGCCTAATGCACATAAGGCAAAGATGGACCACTAATAAAGGAACATAGTATTAGGCTTTCTGCCACTTTAATTCCACTCCTATAAATTTCAAATTGAACAGCGGCTGATCAAGCAAGATTATTTTTACTTCAACTTGTTGGATGAGGACTATATAGATATTCTACTCAGCACATTTAAGAGTAGCTAAATTTCTGCTCTTTACCATTCTGTAAATCTGCAGTGTCATACTCCAAGTCCAGCCTTTGCCAGATGCTTTTCATTTTAGCTCGAAGAACTATGTTAAATTAATCTGCTTTTCTCATGCTCCTCCTTTTCATGACCATTCACGTGGTTCTGTACTACTAGTCAGTTCCTTAGGGGAGAGCAGGGAAAGGAATACGCTTCAAAGTTTTATGAGGGTGCATTCACAGAAGCTTAATATTAAATTTGGACTTGAAGATGTGCATGCCAGAATTGCTGGTCTTCATTTCTATTCTACTATGCAGCTCTCTAACTCCGGAGTATTGAACATGCCAAGAAAGTTCAGGATGTGGTTTAATTTTTATGGAAACTTTCTGATAAAAAGGGAATATACCTGAAGTTGTAACAAACTACTAAATATACTCAGTGACAGAAAATGTCACGTAAATCATTTTTTGTGAATTGTTTGCCTTTAGCTGCTTAAACAAACAAGCAAAAAACAAAAAAAACAAAGCCAACCCCCAAAACAACCCAACCATGTTTTGCAGTTACTTCTGAAATCTTTTCTATTTTTAATATCAATATTTGCCTTATAAAGCGCTAGGTGTTTTTGTAAGAACACTTGTGAATTTGGCTTCCACATACAACCTCAACAGTGAAAATTATTTAAGAAATAAGTTTCAGTGCTATGTATTGAAAGGAAAGACCAGTATTATTTTAATCTCCAGGTTAAAAGTGTCTCTCTAACAACTGGAAATAGAGTAAAGCTTGCCAAGCATTCCTGGTGAAGCAGACGGAGAGGTAACTAATAGCCTTGCTGAAATCTTGTTAGCTAAGGCTTCCAACTATCCACAGAGCTCAAGGTTACTTATCAAATTAACTTGATCACTGCACTATATGAAAACATTCTTCAATCTGTCAATGACTCTTGCAATTTTGCACCCTTCCCCTCCCCAGGTTCCGAACAGTTAAACTGTCATTTATCACTTTGTGTGCTTAAGAGTGGTCACAGGTCTTACTCATGGAGAACTGCAATGGCACGTGCATCTTCTTTTCTTACAGGCTTTTCGTTTTTCTTGCTGATATTCAAAAGATGCACAAGAATGTAATAGTTATATGCCTGCAGATTTTTAATGACTACACAGAACAGTATTATGCATGGCTATATACACTGAAGTATACAAAGGGCAAAAGTGTGATTGCTGAATAAGACTTGTTTGCAGAATGCAGAGAAACAGCCATAGACTCCTGGCATTCACAGATGCAACAACACAATCCAAAAGCTCGCTGTAAGATGCCACTGTCTGTCTTGTCATGGTGCTTGAGGGTTCTGAATATAAATCACAAGCTGCTTATGCTTCAATGTTCCTCTGTTTTCATTGTGACCTGATAGTAAATGGATTGTTTTTTCATTTAAGAACAGATGAGAGTATGTTGGGACTTGCTTTCCTATCCATACAAACTAAATCAGTATTTCAGACATATTCTGTAGTACCAATTAACTGTCCCCCATGAGGAGTAATGTTGTCTGTTTTAGAAGTTACCACACCACCCATTCTCTTTGTTTCTTACTCTCACAAGTGTGCAACCATCAAAAGTGTAACTGAAAGCTTATTTAATTGACATTTCTTCCTTTTCACTTTCATGAAAACTGTGCCTGTACAGAAAGCACACTGTGAAGTGAGCAGATATGTAGGTATATGGTCATTGGTGTTCTTTCTCTGGTTCCACTCTATGGTATTGAGTATTTAGACCTGTGTCTGTGCGTTAGCTTAATTATTAAGAGCTTCTCAGTCCCACAAAACCAAATTATGCTCTCTGATATGCATAGAACCCCTTCTGTGAAGCAAGAGAAACCATAGCTATTCAATGGTATATAACATGGCCTTCACGGACTGCAGTGTTCACAAGTGGTTAAGAGGGAAGGTAGCCTGTATTTTCTGAGTGGGCAGGCTTTGGGCATCACAAAGCGGTAGGAGTGAAATTTCAAACCTGGCTGAAGAACATAGGTAGCTGAGTCTTGCAGGCACTTTGGAAGACATAACTTCTGGCTCCGCATAGCAAGGCATTCATTGTTACCATTTTCATTGCAAACTCCAGGCCAGCTCATAGCAAGTTGTGTGAAGGACAGATGGTGCAAGGAGCCCCTTTTTCTCCTGCTGAATGTTCAGAGAGGTAAGCCGTGAATTGTTTGCAGCAGAGAAAAAATGCAGCTGGTGTCATGCAGATCCTTATCTTGGTGTGTTCCTAATTTATTTTCTCACATGTTTAAGTTTTTGTTATGGTTTAACCCCAGCTAGTAACTCAGAACCACACAGCCACCCACTCACAGTGCCCCGCCCCACCGCCCCTCCCCCCGTTATTTCCTCCCCCTTGCTCCCGGGCGAATGGGGGGAAGAAAGGAAAGAATGTAAAACTCATGAGTTGAGATAAGAACAGTCCAGTAGCTAAGGTATAACACAAAACCACTACTGGTACCACCAATAATAATAATGATAAGGGAAATAAGAGAAGAGAATATAAAACTAAAAGGAGAAAAGGAAAACAATAAACACAAGTGATGCACAATGCAATTGCTCGACACCCGCCAACCAATGCCCAGCCCAACCCGAGCAGCGATCTGGGCCTTCTGTGTAACTGCCTCCAGTTTCTATCCTGGGCATGACGTGCTGTGGTATGGAATACCTCTTTGGCTAGTTTGGGTCAGGTGTCCTGTCTCTGCTTCCTCCTGGCTTCCTGTGCCCCTCCTAACGCAGAGCATGAGACTGAAAAATCCTTGATCAGGGTAGGTGCTACTGAGCAAGAACTAAACCATTGGTGTGTTATCAGCACTTCTCTCAGACTAAAGGCGAAAACAGAGCACTGAACCATCTACTAGGAAGGAAAAAAATGACTGCTGCAGCTGAACCCAGGACAATTTTGTAGATCAGACTTAGTAAAAACAAGCAAGATGATACTTCCTCAGATAAAAAGAGTATGTGATATATGCAAGAACAATAGGCCAGTGGATATATGGATATAGATAGAGGTCAAAAATCTAAAGTAGTCTTCTGTATTCATGTAATTTTCCA